TGCACCAAATACCCGACCCGATTCCTTTTCCTCCCCCCTCCCACCATGAGCGACGCACCCGGCGCAGCAGCCTCAGCTATGGGCAGCGGCAGGGAGCTCGCCAACCCGCCGTCGGACGGCATCTCCAACCTCCGTTTCTCCAACCACAGCGACCACCTCCTCGTTTCCTCCTGGGACAAGGTCAGCCGCCGCGCGCTCCCCCTCCGTTCCTCTGTTCCGGCAAGGCGTGGTAAACCCTAGCCGCCTGATCCGGCCGGTCTGACCTCGTTTGGGTGCTTGCGCTCTGTTCCAGACGGTTCGGCTATACGACGCCGAGGCGAATCTGCTCAAAGGGGAGTTCGCGCACCCCGGGCCTGTGCTCGACTGCTGCTTCCACGACGACTCCTCGGGGTTCAGTGCTGGCGCCGACCACACCGTGCGGAGGTGAGGGCTGTTGTGTTTTGTTTTCTGCGCCTTTTGCATTCGATTTGTGGAGTTGGCAGGGCCGTTCGTGTAATCGATTGGGTTATAGATCTGCAACCAGTACGGGATGCCTAGGCTGTGTTTCGTTGGTGAGGAAGCGATGTGATTCATTTTTTATTTTTGGTGAACGCTCTCTATAAGGTTTGTGTTGTAAAAACAATCTATGAAAGGGACCTAGTTGCTTGGATATAGGTGCATGTATGTTGCCACATACACTAGTTCCAGCGCCATAAGGTGGGAAGTGCATATAAAGAAGCAATTTCACTAACTGTCATTTAGTAACTCTGATTTACTTCAATGTTTTTATCTGTTAGTGCTACTTAGCACTTAGCAAGTTATTGGTAGTACTCAAATTACAAGATAGGGCTGTAGATATGTTATAGCTGTGGAGATTGATTTTCTTTTAAAGAGGCATCTTCCCGGATAGTTTCTTTTAAAGAGATTGATTATACCAAACATTATCACTTAACTACAAAGAAAGAGTGAACCAATTAAGTTTGTAAAAGAAGTTCAACGTGCAGAAACGCGGGCGTGCACACACACACACACACACACACACACACACACACACACACACAAGGGGCCACGGCTCAAGTGCACACTCACGGATACAAACCCATGAGGGGGCCGTGGCTCAAGAGCTGAACAAACACACAAACCCACGAAAGGGCCATGGCTCAAGAGCACACACATACAAACCCACGAGGGGGCCATGGCTTGAGCCGAACAAACACACAACGACTGCATCTCGAAAGAGTAAAAATTGGATCATCCCAGCCTCCTGTGGGCATCAAGGCACCTGCTGCAACGCGTCCCTAGGAGAAGACGCATGGTGACGAAGACGCATCAACATCTCAAGGGTCGATGAGTTCTGGGTCCTGATCATTATATAAATTGTATGCTGATTAGACCTTGTTGCAGAATCACACATAAAAATATTTATGGTGGGAAAATTGTCCAGTCCCCCTTAAGATTATTAGTGGTGCATGAGTCTTAATTTGAGTGCTTCATGTAAGACTTACGAGCAATGTGCCCATATTTTGATTTGTTGTCAATTGAATGCTGGCAGGCAAGAGTAGCGACATTACTATCTGAATGTTGTTTGTGAATAAAAAATGTATCGTTGATTCCCTCCTGTTATTATTAGTTATGTCAAGATTTAGTAAGACTAAAAGAAACATGCTCAAATAACTATCCCAGATTATCATTTACTTCGTCAAAGGAGGATGTTCTGGGGCGTCATGATGCTCCAGTTCGCTGTGTGGAGTACTCTTATGCTGCAGGTACTTGTAACTACATCCTATTGGATTGCTCTTGCGTTTATGTTTTTGGACGTACATTTTCCGGACAAATACTGATGCAAATTGATTCAGTCAAACCAAAGGTTATTTACTGCATTAATCATATCATCATTAAGGATGCAGTTGATTTTCTTAGAGATCAGTACACATAGCACATTGCTAACTGAATTCATGTTTTATTCTTAATGACTATATTTTTGCACATCTAATCTTGTATAGAATGATCTTAGTTTCTAATTTTTACTTTGATTATACGGCTTTTTCATGCTGTCTGGCTTCTTGACATTGCTTTATCCATTTGGATGCATGTTCAGGGGATATCCATTTCATTGTACATTATGATAACTGGAAATATCTTTCTTCTAGATAGTCATTTCTACTTGGCCTAGTATTGATTTGGTTTGTCCTGTTGTGTGTTGGAATATTTGGTTGGTATTTGTTCACTTCGAATTGCCACCTATAAATTTGGGTACGTCAGTGTAGCCTCCATTGGCCTTAATTTAAGGGCAATGTTTTTGGGAATTCGAATTCCCATTATTCTGTGGGGTTGACTCTCATGAGAGTTTTTTTTCTGATTAGTACTCATGAGAGTTGTTGTCAAAGAAACCCTTCTACAAGTTTTAGTAGAGGGATTGGAAATTCATGGGAATTTTGTTTTAGTTGAATCATCTAGTACCATATATGTTTGTGTTTGAACTTTTTGTGATTTGAACCACATACAAACTATTACAATAAATTTACTGAGAAACACATTTTAAAAATGCGAAGAAAGTTCTTGTGTTTGAATTTGTACCTGATGATTTAACTAAAACAGACAGGACATGGAAATTCTATGTATGCCAAATGTTTCATATGAGAAAAGGGTAAAATCCAATGTTCCAGGCCCATATTCATTGATCCTGACTGAAAGACAGACTGGGCAAGTGTGCTTACTAATTTTTAAATGTTGTTCTAAATATTTGTAGGTTATATCAAATATTGTCTAAAATGATTTCCAAAACTATTATCTGGCTAGTGTGAGATAATTTGATACATGAACAGAATAAGAATTTTGACTTTCAGTCTGTATATTTATCCATTTAGGACAAGTCATAACTGGCAGCTGGGACAAGACAATTAAATGCTGGGATCCCAGAGGAGTTAGCGGACCAGAGCGTACACTTGTTGGGACATATGCTCAACCAGAGCGTGTATATTCTATGTCACTGGTAGGAAATAGGTTGGTTGTTGCAACAGCAGGAAGACATGTCAGTATTTATGATTTGCGCAATATGTCTCAACCTGAGCAAAAAAGGGAATCGTCTTTGAAATATCAAACACGCTGCGTCCGATGTTTCCCCAACGGAACAGGTAACTTGTTCTCTCTTTACTGTAGTTGCACTGCACGACTGCATGTTTCCCATTGTCACCCTTATTTCAACCATAAAGAAACATTGTGTACATTATCGTCATGTGGTTGCTTTTGATAAACCGCAATATTTGTGCTTTCTTTTGAAAGCCACCCTAGGTCTCTCCGGTTGTGCTTGAGCTTCTAAATACTTTATAAATTCAATCTTTCCAGTGGGCAAATGAGAAAAGTCATGAACCTGAATTGCATAAGCTAAGCTTCGTTCTGTAGATTTTGATTTGAATCTTATGGAATATGCTCCTCCAGGTTAAATTATTAAAAAAATGAAACGTTTATTAGTGCTAGATGACGCTAATACATGAATTTGAACATTACAAAGCTGGCTAAATTTATCTATAGAAGCAAAAAAAATAGGAATGAGCTATGCAGTTATACGGTTACTTCCACTTGGGAAAATGTAATGACTGTATTTTGAACCTTAGCAAGTACCAATACATAAGTGGCTGTAGCCATCAGTATGCTTACCAGAGTAATGTATGAACTGCAACAATTATGCGGCTCAAGCAGCCTTGATTTAGACTAACCTTCTGAAATCCTGCTTGCTTCAGGGTATGCTCTAAGTTCTGTCGAAGGACGAGTGTCTATGGAGTTCTTCGACCTGTCTGAGTCTGCACAATCTAAAAAGTATGTTCTCGGCACCGTAGGTTCAAGACATCTTCTTATGTATTTGTAATCATTTTACATTCACACTTGCTTCAATGCTTTCTAATATTCGTTTCTTGGAGCATAACACAGTTTAAATAACCGATTAAGAATTCTTTAAGCTTCTGTAGCTTGCTAATGTATTTGATTGTATCTTACTCCCTCTGTTCCTCAAACGAGGGTGTGAAATTTGTTTTGTTAAGACCAAGGAGATTTTGACCTTTTTACCCCTGGTTAATCACATGCTTTAGTAGTTATTAGCCCAGCACATGAACCCCACCATACTCTTTGCATGCAGCATGCATGAGCCAATATGAGCCGTCATTGCTTTGTTGGGCACATGCAAGACCAATTGATTTTTCCATTTATTCGTGGGTGTGGGATATGGCGAGAGAAGCAAATGGTTCTGTAGCACTAAAGGCCAGCATGGAAGGCGGAGAATTCAGCTGCAGCGTCTGTGTGTGTGTGACTTTGTGGTATTTTCGGCAGGTTTAGTGCTAAAATAGCGCAGCGCCTTCATTAATGGAAATTTTACCAAAAAAATAAACAAGTCTATCTACCTTAGAGCATCTCCAGTAGATGATGTAAAATAGACCGGGGCCACTTTTTACATCACGAGAAGGCAAAGACACTGCTCCAATAGATGATTTAGATGCAAATATTTTTACTTGAGGGATGGGGCGTGATGTAAAATAGGCCGCCAAGTGATGCAAATTTGCATCACTTGGGCTGCTCGAGCAAGTTTTGCATCACCAGAGGACCACATGGCTGGAGCAAAATTTGCAACACCAAGTGACGTTTTTACATCACTCTGTGCTCCAACAGATGATGTAAAATAGGGCACCCACAAGAAGACAACCGTGATGTATTTTGCAACACCTATTTTACATCATCTATTGGAGTTGGAGGTTTTGGTGATGTAAAAAAGCACTTTTAGGTGATGCAAATTTTGCTCGAACCACAATTTGGTGCCCTATTTTACGTCATCTATTGGAGATGCTCTTAAGGGAATGAAGGGAGTAGTATTTTGTCATCCTTTCATGCAGATCATATCTAGTTCAAACAATATGTAGGTGATAGAGGAAATCACTTTGGTTTGGACTACAAATTTAACATGGAAATTATAAAAACTAAATTTTTGTGTGGCATTATGTGTACTGTTTTACGGAAATTTGAAATTCAACCCCAGGTGGTGTTTGACACATCATAATGGAAGTTTACTCTACCATAAGTACCTTTCTGTGGCAGTCTTAGCTGCCTTTAAGTTTTTGTTAGGAACTTCGTAGGAGCTCAGGCATTCAGTGATGAGAGAGAAGGGTAGGCATGTATGTCCCAGTTATGAGCCCTGAGTGGATAGCGGTGTGTTCAACACACTCAGCCAACCAAGTAGGCACTCCGCTCCAGCTGGCTTGATATCTTGACGATGACCGTAGCATGTCCACAATCCCACCAAGATACAACACACCTTTTATTTATTTATATTAGAAATGCAGAACACTGAAAAGAGTGGTCAGACTTGTTTTTTTCCGTGCCATTTCATTGATAGGTAGAGAGTGAAACAATTACAAGGTGTAACTCGCAAAACCACGCACACTATCTGGCGTGGTTGCGAGCGCATGAGCAGAACAAGAAAAAGGGATGCTCAGCCGTACAGATATAAGGTCTATGTCTCGGGTAACAGTAGGTTGAGCCCCCTGGCTCCACCTCTAGCCCAAATTCTAGCTTCCTCGATAGTTCGGACAAGGTGTGCAATGGAGGACATCAAGGCATCGAAGATGCATCCATTCCAATGCTTCTGAAGCCACCAAGCAGTTAGCAGAAGAAGCAAGGAGATCCCCTTGCGCAAGGCAGGGGGCATGATCCCAAGAGACCATCCACCAGTCCAAGAAGGGTAGCTCCGGATGGGGAGGGTGTGCCGTGGTACGACACCAGGAAAGGATCTTGTGCTACACCTGATGGGAGAAGGTGCAGCAACCCATGAGGATTTGCCGCATGTCCTCAGTCTCCTGGTCGCAAAGGATGCACCGGTTGGCATGGGGAGGCACCTACAGGCAAGGCGGTCTGCAGTGCAGCATGTGTTCTGGAGGGCGAGCCAGATGAAGAACGCAACACGCAAAGGTACCCACGTCTTTCACATGAGGTGCCAATGCGGGGTCTGCGTGTCACCCAGCAATAGCGCTTCGTAGCAGGAGCTAGTCAAGTACTGTCCAGAGGCAGTCCAACGCCAATGAAGCACATCAGGGGTCGCCGGGAGGGGAGTGTGCCGGAGCCGACGCCAGAGGTCAACGTACTGGACCATAGTGGCGGGCTGGTTAAACTTGTTCATCACCAGTGGTAGCATAAACTGCAAGGCTCCAACCTGGATTGTTTTCTTAGTTTTTTGAATTATGCTTTGCGTTGGTAAAGGCAGTATAGCGACCTTGACTTTCTATATGATCAATCACTATTCAAGCGAGCAAGCTCATATGTCATACCATTTTAATGTACAACTGGCAGTCAACGGTTCAACACTATAACCTAGCCTTTAGTTGTGCATTGGCAATCACTCTGCAGTGCTCACCCCTTTCCTGCAAAGTTATTAACTCAAAGAGACAGTCCGCTTACTTTCCCATGCAGCCTACACTGAACTATGGTGAAACTGGCTGTCCAGTTTAAAATACTTGTTTACTCAATGGTTAATTTCCTTTTCAGGTATGCTTTCAAGTGTCACCGGAAATCTGAGTCTGGCAGGGACACTGTTTATCCTGTCAATGCCATTGCATTCCATCCAATGTAAAGTTTCAGTGTTTAATTTGCTTGGTGATCTCTCATAGGATTATCTGTTCTCAGTTTCTTGCACTGTTATGTATTGTCTGCAGATACGGCACATTTGCCACTGGAGGCCATGATGGATTTGTGAACGTGTGGGATGGCACAAACAAGAAGAGATTGTATCAGGTAACTGGGTGATAGTTTTGCTTTGGTAGTACGATTATCTGAAGTGGCCTGGGTGTTCATGATCTTATACTTTCATCGCAGTACTCAAAGTACGCGTCAAGCATTGCTGCTCTGTCGTTCAGCAAGGATGGGCATCTGCTTGCTGTGGCATCAAGCTATGGTTACGAAGAGGGAGAGAAACCGTAAGACTGAACTTCGCTTACAATTTTCTGTCACTGCTCACTAACAGAACACAGAGTTGACCTACTGGCTCTTTTGCGATTTCCAGCCACGAGCCTGATGCAATATTTATCCGTGGGGTGAATGAAGTGGAGGTTAAGCCGAAGCCCAAGGCATTGGCCGCACCCCAGTAGTGCTTTAATCATTTCGCAAGAAGGTAATCAAATGCATCAGGTGTGTTGTCTGGGACAAGGCATTATGCAGAGAGCAAATGCGAGGCGTTTCTTTATCTAGTTCTCTTTTTAGTGTCAATTGCATTAGTTGACGGAATCCCTTCTCTATGTTGGAGTCAAATGGCAGTATATCTGACCATTTCTCTGTGTTGTTTCGCATGTATTAATGTCTAGAAAGAGTTGCTTGGGAATGGTCATATTCGTTTTGTATTTTGATACAGAAACTGTTGCTTTTTTTATGTAGCTTATATATAATCAATTTAGTTTTGCAACTTTCGTATATGATAAAAGAGGCTAAATCTGTCGAACTTATGGGCTGGTGCTAATTTGACCGGACGTAATCGGTTGTTGGAGCAAGTATAAAAAAATGATGCAAGCGAGCTATAGGAGTTGCCACAACAGATTTGTGTTAAGTAGAGAGGGAGAAGAAAGAAGATAAGAATGTTGTAATTTATAGTCAGACATGGCATGTTAATAAGTTAAAGAGGTGGGCCAGGTATAAATTGTGTGGTATACCTCTATAGCTAACTATAATGGATTTTATTTTTTTGCGGGGAACTATAATGGATTATTAGATTGGCTATAGATGATAGACAATAATATGTGAGATTTCTCAAAGGAAAATATAATGAGCTAGTTGTCGGAGTGAACACTCGCACCAAGGAATCTATTATATTATCAAAATACCTGTGTGTTGCCACATGAAATACTCCCTTTGTCCGGAAATACTTGTCATCAAAATGGATAAAAGGGGATGTATTTAGACATATTTTAGTTCTAGATACATCTCTTTTTATTCATTTTGATGACAAGTATTTTCAGACGGAGGGAGTACTAACTTATACGTGTGTTTGAGTAAGTGATTATTTGTGGGGTCAAATGAGTGATATATATGTTCCTTCTGCGCTGCAGCAAACTCATGTCTTCTCTTTGGTGATCGTTCTGCTTCCTTTCTTCTTGGCACATTTAGCCCTATAAACTTGCAGTCATCGCTCTATTGTTCTTGATAGCGGGCTGCCAAACACTTATGTAACCGGAATATTGAAGAGGTGGGATTAAACCATTGATCCGTATGTAACCAAACAGATGTAGTTTGTGGGAGAGCTGACATGTAACCGAATACCATGCTAGTTTGGGGGAGAGCTGGCATGTAACCGAACACCATGCTAGTGTTTCTGCTCTAATGCAGTCTGAGGTTTTGCAATCAAACGAACTGCAGAACATGGTTTAGAGCCTGCATTAGCTCAGTCAGGCCAAAAATAATGTAGATAACCAAACATGCCCTAAGTGCTACTCCGTATTTAATTTGTGAAAGGTGTGTGCATCTCACCCAAGCGGTTTAGACTTTTGTCTTCGCGAGCCCATCTCCAAGCGAAGCTTTTCGCCTGGCTTGCCCTTCGCGACCCATGTTGGACATGCAATAGGCTTCAACGTGGAGGGCTGCAGCACCAACCGCACTGTCCACTGTGTTGTCAACAACCGGAAATGATCTGCCACCCTTTTGATGGAGTGACTCTTCTCAAACTGATTAGATTCGACATGTTAAGCAGGGACAGCAGTTAATGAGATGACAGGTCAAGTTCAACCTCATGCCAGTCCTCTATCTATGTACTGCGACATTTGGCTCGAGCAAAATGCGCAACTTTTTTACAAGGTGGCTAGCAGCCGACAGGTTGCCATCTACAAAACCAGGGCGGACACTGCTCTTGCCGACATTTGCGAGGAACTATGTCAAAATCCTATGGGCTTTTGCCGTTCATTCGCCCTATCCCATTTGTCTTGTAAATACTCTATTCTGTCTTAGTACAAATGACACACATAGCCTGTGCGTTTTCTAGAAAAAACAACTGATCAACAAAATATAAATGGCCTTTTACACCCAAACGGAGGAAGTACAATATAATTGGCCAACCAACAAGACTACCAAAATCAGAAGTTTCAGACTTGCATAAGCCGTCAGAGTATGTCTACCTATTCATGAACCATGAATAATACTGATGAAGTCAGACAAAATTTGCTTCACCCACAAAGGAGAAGAAAAAACTATTGCCGCAGAGTGAATAAGTACATCCTTTGTATTTCTGGAATATGGTAAATAGCATACATGGTTCAGTATACATGGGATTCGACCCTGGTATGTTGAGGTGTCTGGTACCCTACACCACCACCACAATCCTGTCTAACCAATGAAAAACAGTATACAATAACAAAGATATTGTAGAATGAAATTTAGTTTCTCTTGAAACACCGATGTTCTACAGCATGTTCAAGATTCCTCATCTGAGATATACCACGAATGGGTTGCCGAGGGAAGGTAAAGTAAGCTTATGAGGAATGCTTTTGACTTGGGTTGCTCTCATGCCCGGGCTGAATCTGCAGCAAATTCTGCCCCTCTTCATCGTCCTCTTCCTTTGGCTCGATCTTGGGCACCTTGGGCTTTGTGGTCGATTGCTGGTAGAGAACACCACCAGACATGCATATCAAGAGCCCAATTGTCCCCACAAGGGACGCATGCTTGTCCCAGATAAGCAGATTGATCACGACGGTCAGGAGCTTGTTCACTATACCGAGCACCGTAAATCCAGTAGCAGAGATGGCCCGTCTGCAGGAGAATCCAAAGAAGGATATAGATAACCCAAACAGGCATGACAGAGCAACAGGAAGGACCACGTCGAACGATAGCCAGTTTGTTGTCATCTTGGAGCTGTCGACCTTCATCTGATTAAACTCTCCCATTATAAGGAGCTCAAGGGGGAACAACAACAGAGCCTCAAGGTTGTTGTAGAGCACAAGACCCCATGTGTTCAACCCGATGGTCATGACGACGTGCTTGATGTACACGAAATCAATAGACATGCTCGCTAGATAGGCTATTGCCCAGCTGTAAGCAGTCAGGGTGAACTGGTTATCTGTGAAAACATATATCACACTTCCACCAAGTATAGTGGAAAGTGAGAGCCATGTCTTGAATGATGGGCATGGTTGGTGAAGGTAAAGTGTCTCCCCAATGGCCACAAATATCGGCACAGCAGACCGAAACACGATGAAAGTGTCCACATTGGCATGCATCAGGAGCTCGCTGTTTGTGAAGATTGAGATGTAGAACATAACAGCAGCAGGTAGGAACTTCCACATGGTCCTCAAATTCAGCCTATCTGGCTCAATAAGCTTTAGCTGTCCACACAGGAGAACTCCAGCAACACTAGTGAGGTACTGTAAGGCTGTCAGTGCTCCAGGGTAGGGAAACTTCATGATTGCCCATTTGTTGATAATGGAGAGCAGAGATGCTGACAGGCAATAACCAGCAGCCACACCATAGACTGAAGCGTGGCGCATAAGAGTGCTCCATGTGTTATTCCAAGCTCCAGTTTTCTCGACTGAACCATCTTCTTTTGAGGGCTCTGAGAGATTAGACATCTGCAATCATTTAAAATAGTTTTATCAACTATGAAAGTCATGCAAAAAGCAATTGGAGAAGCCCAAGACAGTTAGATGTCATATACAGGTGTAGTAACTGACAGAGCAGAGAAGTACTTCGAACTTTTGTGCAGAGATATGATCTGGGTTCCATACATAATTTGTACAAGGTAAGTTAACATAGCAGTTCTGATGAACATGATTATCTGCTTTACTTCTAAAACCCAGTAACTCGTGCGACTGAAAATAATCAACATATTTTTGCTGAATTTAAGCTAGCATTGACTTTGAACGAAGAATCTCCCTTCGAGGATGCACCTATGTGCGAACGCCATATATTTCAGAGAAAAAAGTAGTTCAAAGGCATGATCCATAAGGTACAAGCAACCAAAGCTGATTTTCTGAACCCAAGAAAAAAAGTGATGATTGAATGATCCTGACAAATATGGAGAAACTTTACAGACAGGACACCTCAAAGAAAGCAAGTACCCGTCCACTTCCTATAATTGTCTCTAGCAAACAATCATCCTCTTATATATTGCTATAAAGTACAAAACTACTCCTTAGAAATCGATCTAACTGTGCTGACTGTGCACCTCCATGTGTTCTCCTTTGATCTTCAGCAAACTTTAGAGGTTAATCATGGTAAACAGTCGAGCAGGTCAAGGCCCGAAACCAAAAAAGGAAACAGACAAGTACTAAAAACAGGTTTCAGCTCCCAAGAAAAGGGTCAAAGGAAGAAGAGGAAACAATAGCAGCACCAAGAAAGAAACACTTCATGAAAGATCTAGTAGCATATCAACCATGCCAACCAAGAAACAATTTCATCAGAACTGAAGAAAAACCAAGCGAAGAAGAAGCAATACCTGGAACCGGCCAACCCGAGCAGGAGCCATGATCCCGAGCCCAAATCCAACAACAGCAAGCGCTCTAGCAACGAAGCATGTATCCTTCTAAACAAAGCCGAGGGTCAGGGCTTAAGGTGGCAAAGGAGGAACGAAGACCAGTATGCAACAAGCCAACAACCACCTAGCTAAGGCCAATCAGCTAATAAGCTCTCATATAAGGTGGCCACACGGAACGATCCATTTGCCCACGACGGCCATGTTCGGCATGTGAGTCAAACATGGTAGGAGCACGTCACAAGCGCATCAGCCAGTGGCCATCAGATCGGAGAACGGGTAAGAGAATTGTGCAAGAATATTCAGCACAACACCTAAGCGGTTTGGCCAAGTCAATCAAGACGAGGTCGCAATCATGGAACGTGCTAGCCAGTTGCCCGCAAGGAAACAAAATTAGCATAGCGACGCACTACCTCAGGAAGACAGGGGAGCTTCTTCCCCCACACCCCGCGCAGCCTGTGGGGAGAGGCGAACTCAACTGGAAGAAGAGATGCCCCTCAACTACCGCGACGTGACGCAAGTTAAAAAAGTGGCTGTGGGCGCACGGGGTGTTCCCCTGCACTCGCTAGCTGCTGACGAGGGCCTCGCGATCGAGCCAGCTCAACCGACTGCTGCGACGCGCCATGATTATGATTGAAGCGCTGGAGTTAGTCGCTGAAACATGCATACATGTGGCGGACGGAAGGAATGGCATCAAATGATTCGGAGAGGAGGAACTGGAGATCGTTAGGTGGACGCAAGCCGCCGGTCAGGACCACGGAATATCCACTACAGTTTTTAGCAGCGAAGCGGAACACGTCGCAACTGTGAACTGTAACCACGGGCCAAGATCGGAGTTTGACGCCTGAACAGAGGGGGGACGGGGGTGGAAGTAGAACCTCGCGGGAGGCGGCTCACCTTCGTTTGTGGTCGAAGTCACATGCGCCGCTCCTGGACGGATCCGCCGGCGGTCGAGGAGGGAGAGCGGGTGGAGGGGTCGAGCGAAGAGCGGCGGGATGCTGTCCGTCGACTGAACCGCGGGGCGATTTATGGAGGGGTTCGGGCAATGCTTTTGAGGCGGCGGTCGCCGGATCTGGACGCTGCGGAGGGTCAACGAGGGATCGCCTCGGGTGATTGGGCGCGCGATCGCGTGGGGTTTGGGGTTTGGAGGCGGGAGCGAACGGGATGGAGATTAGCCAGCTCTGGCTTCTGACCCGGGAGAGGCGGGAAGAAGGAGCAGATCTCGAGGCGCTCGTTTGGCTGGACCGTAGCGACGAACGGCAGGACGGCCGAGCCGGCCGCCCGGCGGGGACCGGGATGCCGTCTCTGTTCATTTTTAATTGCCTTCCGTTTCAGCTTCGGCACGAGGGAGATTCGCCGGATCTCGCGCCCGAGCCGCGCAAGCGCAAGGGCAACCTCGCCGAGCCACCTTCCAATTCCAAGCAATGGTAACGGTTCAGCGAGTCAGCAACTCCAGCAAGCTTCCTTGAAAAGCTTTCCGTAAAAGCCGTTTCACGCGATATCTGCATAATTTAATAGAAATTATGCTGATGACTACTCCCTCTGTAAACTAATATAAGAGCGTTTAGATCACTACAGAGGGAGTACTTTTTTTCTTTCTTGGTCATCGTTCTCTAATTATTTTTCATTAAACTAGGTATGTGCCCCTGCATTGTGACGGGTCAATTTTTTTTAACATGATAAGATGATCATAGATAACAAATCTTGATGCAAAGCAAATAGGAAAAAAAAATAAGATTATGTATTGGCTATAGAGTATACACTTTTAGCCATTTTTTAAAACCGATAAAATAGTTATGCGTCCATGATTAGTATGATTTATTGGGTTACCAAATATAGGAGATTGATTGATACTATTTATATTTGCTTATATGGGGCGTGGATTTATTGCTATTTATTGGATTACCAAAGATTGGTATCGGGTTTTATCATAAGAAACAATTTATTTATGGACCGTGAATTTATTGATACAAGCAGAATGCTCGTGCTTTGCTACGGGCTATTTGTTATCTTATCCTCAAAACCCGAGCGCAACACAAGACCCCACCCCACGATGCACCATTTTCTTTTTCTATCGGGCCCTCCCCTTTCCTCTCAGTTTCCCGCCGTAGCGGGACATTTCTCGCTGGAGCCACCTCTTTTGAAACCAGATGACGCCCACCTCACCATCGCCGTGCATTGCAGTAGGGATAAAATCTTTCATATTTACAATATAATAGTGGTTAAACTAACACATACTCTCGACACAAAACAACAAATAACTATACAAATCATTCTTAAAGGCACATTCAATTTTGTAAAATGCACAATGACGTTGGAGGCAAGTGGCAACCTGAACATATTCCTAATTACCAATAAGCTCCACCTCCAGCCCATATACCATTCATTGTTGTAAGGGATAACTGTTGCTCTTCTCTTCCTCGTCCTTCCCTACATCTTTTACTCCTAGCCTCCCCGCCAACCTGTTTCGTTGGCGCCAACCAACACCACGTCGACATCAGTATGTTCGTCAGCGACACCTCATCTTCTTCTTCACCCTTCCTCGTCAGTTTTAGTTGTCGCTCCTACTTATTTTCTAGAATAATCTGTCTTTCTTTTTTTGTTTTATTTTTTGGAACACTCTTTCCTTCTCCAACACCATGAACCACTTGGTGGCTTTAGTTTTTTACCTCTTATTCTTGGAACACTCTTTCTTTCACCTAAAGCATGAATCACGTGACTAATGTTGTGTCGTGTTGTCCTTCCCCGCGAACTTTTCAACAACCATCAGCGTGTGGACATCTTGTAGAGCATGATCTCCATCCATCTTGGTGAACACTAGGGCGCCCATGTTGTGAGCGCATGGTGGCCGTTGTCCATGTTGGCAAGCGGTGTTCGGCCAAGCCGCTGAGAGCTTGTTTGTCAAACAGTTGCCCACGAGCGCTTTCAAAATGATTCAGCACGATTAACTACTTGCATTATTAATTAAGTATACACATAATTAACGGCCTACCTAATTCTCTTCATGCCTAATTAATTGCGAACTAAATCAATTAATTACCTACCTAATTGGGAAAAAACCTACCTCTAATTATCCGTAGGCATAATTAATTGTCTACTTAATTAATTAGTTGCATTAATGAATTGATTTTCAAATTGATTCAGTGCAAAAAAATCCTATTTAAATGTACTTAATTAATTGCATACTAAATTGATTTTCAAATTGATTCAGTGTGAGTTAATTAATTTTGTCAATGGTCTGATTTCCAAATTGATTTACCGTTTGATTTTCAAAATATTTTCACATGAATGGGTGCGACGAACGACGAGGACTATAGAGTATTGCGGAAAATATTTTCTTAATGAATTTCTTAACATTTGAATGGACACACTTGATTTGAGAATATAGCTTGTCTAACTCTTTGTATGACTGCGAAGAAATATAATATGACCACGTCTAGGAACGCCTGTCCCTGTTCGTCCGATGGCCCGCCTCCCGACATGGTCATTCTCGAATCCACGCACTGGCTTTTTCGAGCATCGCGCAGGCGTTAGGCCCAGCCACGGCGTCCTCCATGGTGTCGTGCATGGAATCCCTTTGTAGGGGCGCGTGGATGTGTACGCCCATAAGAAAAAATATATTTGTTGTATTAGAAACTTTTGATTGTCAATTAATAGTAGATATAAAATTTTATGGGGAATATTTGATTGTTTGGAAGGTTATCGAGAAAAATCTTATGTCTTTCTTTCAGGAAGGTGATTTCAGTTTGATTTTCTAATTCTTAATTGCCTATTATTTACGTGATTGAATTAAATCTGCACCTACCAAAGCAAGCATGAAACAAGATCTTCCGAATTTGGGTTTTTAATGGGAGGAATAAAAAACCAGTGATACAGGGATGGTGGGAGGTGGGACGAAATAAAACCCGACGAAAATAAAGTAGCGTACCAGGCTACCAACTGAGACATTAGGAGTAGAGATACCATAGATTGATCTGGTTTATTGTTGTTAGGGCATATCCTTCACCAGTTGGTTTTTGTGTTGATGACAATGCGCTTTACAGACTAACCGTGTGCATCGAGCATTTCAGATATTATTATATATGGCACACGACGGTTTATTCCCCACGGTGATAGAAAGAGCAAATACGATTTATTTCCGGTGTTTCTTTTCATTTGATTTGAATCATAGAAAAATCATACTATTAGGGGTCCGCATTGGAAGGTATGGGTGGAATCAACACGTACACAAACTAAATGCACCCACATACCCTTCCTAGTATTTGGAGCCTCCTTCTGTTGTGCCTGGTTCTACCAAGTGGAGCTTTAGCGATAATACCGCTTGCTACCACGGTAGTGCCGCTTAGGCGGTACTTTCGGTGATAGTATTGCCTGAGCAACAACCACCCTCTTTGTTAGGCAGAAGTTAATTGTGAAAGTACCACTCGCTGGAGCAGTAGTACCGCTTGGTGTGGTACTACCGCTATAGTACCTCTCGTACTTCCGTCGAGTTCTTTGTATGCCTATTGCTGTTGGTAATTAGCGGTAATACCGCTTATCCCTGGCATTAGTACTGCTTCGGCAGTACTTCCGCTAATGTGACGTCTTGTTTATAATCGTGCACTAATAATACATGCATCATGCACGACCACGAACAGTAACTCACGTTAATATGACAACACAACTCTACGACAGAAATTTAAACATAAATTTTTATATTACAAACCAGGGCCAGGAGGATCCAAAATACATCAGTACATATACCAAGTTAAGTCTGGGTACAGAGGAGTTAGACAAGTTTTTACTTAAGAAGGCTGAGCAAAACAACAACACTAGACCGAAAAGGCGCAAGCCTCCTACCCGGGACCTCTGGACTACTCGTCGACGTTGGTCTCCATGTAGTAAGCACAATCGGGATAACCTACATCCGCGGTGCTAACAATTGTTGCAGCGATCGAGTTGAATGAAAAGAATAGCAAAGCAACGGTGAATACTCATCCAAAGTACTCACAAGA